GAAACGAGGCATGCGAGACTAGCAAGTAGCCAGGAAGCAGGCAGACATGCAGGCAGGCAGGCACTTACCCATAGAGGGCAGCCAGCTTTGGGCAGTTGTTATGGAAGGCAGGCAGGCAGTTAGCCATGGAGGCGGGCGCTATGGGGCAGGCTAACCCCGCGGTAGCGAGGTAGGCCAGCCACTTAGCTATGGGCCAGGCAGGCAGAGGCGCATGGCAGTTAGCAATGCTAGTTTGCAGAGGCAGGCAGGCGCGTGCAGTGGTCCCGCCGATGTGTGCAGACAGGGCATTGCTGATAGGCCCAGGGCAGTGGCTGCAGCAAGGCAGAGCAGCGCAGGCAGGCAGACAGACAGCGAGGCCAGAATGCAGGTAGCCAGGAGCGCAGGCAGACCATGCAGCAAGGCGTTACAAGGAAGCCACCCACGCATTCAGGCAGACATGGGCACGCAGGCAGTCGGATAGCGGGGTAAAATAAAAAAACAAAAAAAGACTAGCAATTAGCCAGACAAGAAAAGCATGCCAGCATGCAGGCAGGCAGGTACTTAGCCAATGGAGGGCGCCATCCATGCAGGCAAGCAGGCAGTTAGGCATGGAGGCAGGCAGCTATGAAGCAACCGGGTATTTTATATATATATATATATATCGAACGTTAGCAATCCTGGCAAGATGAATAGATAAGATAGATGCTAAATAACTGGCGTAGTGGGCATGTGGCGTCTTTTCGTGAAAGACGGGAACAGCATCATAGAAGCTGACATTCCGCCATTTCAACGAGCGTTGAGAATGTTTATCATTATTGAGAGAGCACTACGCTGGGAAATCATGGCATTTACATTAAAAATTCTAAAATCTGCATTATTTATTGTATATATACTGAATGTCTTGCGACCTTAATACATCTTAAGTGAATAGCAGATGAGGATCCGGTATTAGAGGGGGCAAAGTGGCGCTTGTGAGGCGCGCTCTCAAGCAATCACACGAATAAGGGCAGGCATTTTATCATGAAAGTCGGGAAACCAGCGCCACATTCTTCACAATGTCAAGTTTTCACGGGCTATCCTTAGGGCAAGAGTGCAGCCGGGTGATTCACACATGCCCCGTTTGCATTATATAATTATGTCACATTTAGCAATATATATATATATATATGTATATATTTATATAATATAAACATCTATATATATGGATGCGTATGTGTATAGTCAGCTAGCTAGACAAAGAATGTATTACTATTGGAGAGAGCTAGCACACGCTGGAGAATCATTTACAGTAATCGCTCGCATTTACATTAATAATCTCAAATTTAGCATTATTTGGTAATATATACTGATGTATGTTAACATTAAGAGATAGATAGATAATAGATAAGCTCCGTGTCTTGTGATGCGCATACAGTAGAATATATATAGAGAGAAAGACAGATAAAAATGAAAAATAAATTTTTTAAATTTTTTAAAATTTATCTAATTCCATTTGATATTGCAAATGTATACATATTTATACATGTTTATTGCATATTTATTGGTAAAAAAACTATTGATCGACTTTTCATAGGTAATTCTCGAGATAGCGGGCTAACCCCGTCCTAGTAGAAAGGCATATACGTACGTATCATTGAGACACTCTACATTGCCATGACAGACATACATGCAGGAATATAAGCTCAGTAAAATTATTAAATAAAATTTTCAATTTTATATACACTTTCGAAATATATATTATAACGTTTCAAGGTCAAATTCAACAACATATTAACAGAATCATCTTAATTTACTTAAATTTTCGTAATAAGCTTAACTCACTCATACAAGTGATAGACAGGTGAAATAAATTTGTAGGGGCAGAGCATAGCAAGTTGCCACTAATATCCTGGGTTATAGAGATCATATTTATATAACCACCAAAGGCAAAGAAGTATATATACTATATATACGTATATATTATGTACGTATATATTCAGAAAAATTCACATTGACACGACAGAAGCTAGCGTGCATACGTATGCGGTGTATATTGCTTGGCACATTCTCTGCTTCTCTTTAGTAAAAGCCCTGTGACCCCCGTCAAGGTAAGAAGCAGAGCACCAGGGATTTCTTCCAAGAAAGACAACCCTGATGTCAGGAGAAGTTGGCAACCAATATTTGCCATGCGATCATAATTTGGGGCGTTCTTGTAAATTCGCCTTCAATAGTTCATATATCTGGCCTCTTAATTTACTGAAATTTTCGTGATATGGCAAATATTTTAAGCCTGACATCAAGTAAAGAAAGTTTTTTTAATTTTTTATCATTTTTGTTATTTTTTCCTTTATCAATATAGATGTGCAATCGTAAGGCTATCAAGCAGTAATGACTGGGCCATATAACGGCTGCCCACATCAGCATTTGTATGTCAATGTATGCAAACGATTTCCTAGTACTGGAGACATCTTAACTACGGTGATTCAAAACAATCTAAGGGCCCGGCAGTCAACACGCAGAGCTACGCTCATCACGATCGCGCCGTCCTTAAAAAAATTTGCCCGGCGTGGTTGAGGCTGGTTGAGAGCGTGGCCCAATTGGGGCCAGCCGGGCGCCAGCGGCGATACTACGAATGCTAACTAACGTCTATACTAGCACCTAAGTGCGTCTTTACCCGATCTCAATTGGGCGCTCAGACAAGCTTTCACCAGCTCAACACCACGCCCAGCATCACGCTTGCACTGCGCGGACTGCGTCATTATTGCGACCAATCAGATCGTGTTGCGTTCAAACGACGCTTGCACTGTGGCCATTAGCAACGCTCACGCGCGCCTCAACTGCGGCGCACAATCACGGGCCGCCGACTGCGCTGGCAACGATCATAAAAATACCGCGCCGCGTTCTATAACATCATCATTCATTCTGCGTGCTGTTCAAAACTTAACATCAAGGATAATTACTTAAGATCAACATTTATCAACTTAAATCAAGATTATTTATAATCAAAGATTAGTTAACTCAAGATTATTTTCTAGCGGACCACAGACTATGGGCGCGCCAAGAAGACAAGGGGAAGAGGCCGTGGAAGGGGGAAAGGTCTATCCATCCACACACAGTCTATCCACACCAAATTGTACGTGCGCATCCACCAAAAGCCATAAGCACCACGGAAAAGAAGCCCTTATAGTATGATACAATGAGCCAAGAGTTCGGCGTGGCATGCTGATGGCCACGATGTTTTCCGTCGATGGCAACCGCAAGCGATGGGGTCACTTCCATTTTTTCGGGCGGAAATCTTTCGGCAATGGCATGCCATTCTTCTTGGCATCGTAGGACACGAATAACCTCCTCTTTGTGTTCTTCTAGCAATAGCCTGGCACACCTCTGGAACCAACAGCGATATGGCTGTTGCGGGCCCAACTCTGGAAGTCATACTGAAGTGAGGGATTATTTATGCACCCGATGCTAGATGCCTTATGGTTGATTGCCAGTTTCAGTCCTAGTTCATAGTGCTTTTGCTGTATCCGGTGTTCCTGCTGTGCTGCGATTCTCGCCGCACTTCTGACAAGCAGTTCATCGACATCTCGCGGAGGTATGCTCAGGAAAGTTGTAAGAAGGATGGCTTGATCTCCATGCGGAGCTTCAGCCATGAGGCGATCATAGTGACCATAGAGAAGTCGTCTTTCTAGGGCGAAAGCGGGCAGGACGCAGCGCCAGGGCACAGAAATCTGGTTGTTGTCTTCTAAGTTTCTGCCTCCTCGTCGCTCCTCAGCATGATGAGGGCCTTTGGCAATCAAGTATTTTTTTTTTTTTTTGTTTTTGTTTTCTTTTTTTTTTTTTGGTTTTTTTCGAGTTCTTCTACGAGAAAACATGGCATGGAGTAGTGTTGCCTTA